TTGTATATCTTTATATGATATTATATGTAATTATGATTTTTTAGTAATTTAATTATATGATTTTTTTATTAATATTATAATTAAATATTATAATTTATAAATTCATCAATTAAATTTTCGAGCCAACTATACTGAAACATAAAATTTTTGTTCTTAAAAACTTTTAAAAATATATTATTTCAAAGATTTTCTTATGTTGAATTAACAACAATTTTGCTTTTTTTCTTAAATATTTTTTAACTATTGTGAGTGTATTAATGTGTTAAAAATGTATTACAAATGAGAAAAATGATAAATTATTAATGTGTAATTGTTGACTACCGACTTGGTAATTCGAACATAATTCCGAATAAAGACGGGTTACAAATAGTATAACCGTAATGCTATGTCCGTAATGCCAACGGTTTTAAGATAAAGATGAAACACGTCGGATAGCCTCGGAAACTCTTTTCCTTTGCATGTGGTATGTAACCTCGGAATTACACTTCCCCTCGGAAACTGGGCCTTCCCACCGACATGACGAACTGACATAACTCACTTGCTCCCACCGACATCATGTTACTACCGACTTCTCATGATTTTTCAACATGACCGACTTCTCAAAATCTCACCATTGTCTACCGACACCACAGCCCACCTCAACCCACCTCGGGGGTAACTGAGTTCACCAATATCCAAGCAGGTGACGAGACGCTTATGCAATCTCCTTATATCTCGCACCCAACGTCATGATGATCACGGGCCCAACTGATCAAACCGCCCATTTAAACCTACTTTTCGAACAAATCCTGAATGATTGGAAATCTCGAACAATGTGTACCAAAAAGTTACTATATATAGCTTAAGGTTCCCTCAGTGGAAGGGGACGACACTTTTGTACCATCTTTACCTCAATCAAGAACACACCGATCAGATGACCAATTAATAAAATCTCATATTATAGATGTTTACTACTGTAATCTATGTCATATACGCGTTAATGATGTTGTAACAAATCCATACGACAACAATAATTTATATATTGTAATGATATTATGTTATTTTGATGATATACTTTTTCAATTAATTAAATAGTATTGCAATTATGAATTTATTTTGGATCCGCCAATGCAATTAGTTTTCTAATGGAACTTCTATTGAAATTTTTACAATTCAATTGACAGTTTTTCTAACGGTTGAAATATGGTCAGAAAAAAATTTCAACGGAACTTTACACAACAACAAATAATGGCGATTGGAATCATTAAATCCACTAAAATGTCAATATAATTTAATTTGATCTTTGATGGAATAACCAATGAAATTTTCCAATGAAAGTTATACTAATGAAATATCCATTGAAATTTTCAGTGGAATAACATACCATTGGATTTTCATTGCACCATAACATTTTTTTTTGTATCCCTTCTTAAACAATAAAATGTTTATTTTGTTATTTTTTTATTAATTAATTTTGTTTACAAATATTGTATATAAAATATATAAAACACATGAACTTTTCAATCCATGTATATTGTTTTAGAAATCACTCATTCTTTTATCTCAAAATTACTTATTAATTCATCAATTGAGTTGCATTTCTTACTTATTAAATTTTAAATAATAAAAATAATTATTTTATATATGCAATATGATATTTTTATATTATCTTTGAAAAAAAATAATGACAAATAGATTTTTTTTTTAAATTATAAAAATCAAGTTTATTTTATTTTCAAAAAAAAATTAAAAGTTCTAACTTACATTGATAAGTACAAATAACTATTGTCTATCACCTAAAACTTACACATAGAACTAATAAGCAAAAAAGATTAACAAGCGTTGAACAATTACTCGTTTACATCGAAAAGTACAAATTGTAAAAGTTTTATATTTAATTTTATTAATTATACCTTTTAATTTATTGCTTTTTTGTATTTATAAGTAAGTGTCACAACTTAATTATATTTTTAATATTATTCTTCATATTTAATATTTTTTTACTTTATAATTCTTTCATATGATTTTTAATATATTCTTTCCCAAAACGACAGATTATATTATAAATCAAAATGTACAAATGTGCGAATACACAGTTGCCAGGAGAGTAGAGATTACATTGACGAAAATACCAAGTACAAAGGGATATCGCGTGCAGTCCCAACTATACAGTTGCTCGCCACTCTTGCATATAGAACTTTATTCACCAGACGGGTATTTTCAACGTATATATGCATATCATGATTCTCGAGAGATTCTCAATTAATTTATAGATAATTAAAAATTTTAATTCTAATTGTTTATTTAGTGTCCATCTTGGCTCAAATAAAGTAATAATAATGACAATATCATGATATATTTTAATTAATTATTGAATGAAAAAGTTTAAATATTTTATGTGTTTATAATTAAATATTATTCACCTTAATATTAACCACCTAATGATCAGGTGAAGATTCGTTAACTTTATTGACTTTGTGACCAAAAATATTGAAACAAACAAACAAACAAACAAATATATGACGATTTTTGTGGGATCAAAATCCAATCCAATAAAACTAAGGTTCAATTTCTATGTTAATTCTACATAAGATTTTATTTTCTTAAATATTGAAGCAGTTAAATAAATTATTCACTTTTTAGTTTGTTCTATTATGTATATATTTCACGGTGCATGATTTCAGTAAAATTTTAGTTATCGTCTCTTAATTAATGTTAAGTATGTAACTTTAGAATTATTTATGATATACAAGTTACTCCTCAATTAGGTTGTCCTTTTTTACCAAGATTTATCGTTTGTTAAAATTGTATATAAATGGTTGAAAATATTTGGATTCTTTATAAGTATTTATTATGCTATTTTTATTGGATGAATTTAAAAAAAAATATATATTATAATTATAAATATGATTACGATTTTACATTAAAATTATATTTAAAAAAAGACGTTTTTCAAAACATCAACTATATATCATTTCATAGCTTTATTTGGTTGGTTTTTGGGAGATATGAAAGACAACAATTTGACAGATATGTGAAAGAAGCAAATTGGTGATGAATAATGGTATGAGAATGTTGAGGTTGATTTTTAGGAGAGCTGGAATATTTTGTTCGTTTATTTATATTTAATTAATTAAATATTAGTTATTAATTAAAAATATAAGATGATTATTGGTGTAGTATTAATTTGCCATTCAAAGTAAGAGTTTTTTAGATAGTTCATTTGTTAATTAAAAATATAAAATTAGATGGGTATTACTGTATTACTAATTTGCCATTAAATTGTGGAATTTGAAAAAATTCGTTGATTTTGGTTTTGAAGATTTTGAAGTATGAATTCTTTCTCCAAGGATTAATTAATGAAAAGAGGGGCAATTTTCATAAATTCGGTTAGACCTAAAGGGCAAAATAGGAATTTTAGAAGAATCTTGTTAATTAATTTCCCCACTAAAATACAAACATTAAATGAAAGTGACATGAAATCTATGTATTATTTCCACATTTTTATTATTTTTTTACTTTTTATTTTTATTTATCTATTTATTTTGCAGTTTGATCCCTCTGTATGTGTCTACTTGTTAGTCAGGGTGCCATATCACATCAGAAAATTGTAAATGGATCTGACTAGGCGACAAGCCACGCCACATTACTTTTTTTATCTAGTGTACAGATAAAAAAGAACCACAATTAATTAAATTTCAAATCATTAAACCCAACTTGAAAGTGGTCAATGACGAAATGAATTTTTAGACTTTGTCCAAATTATAGGACAAATTTTGATTTTTAGCCTAAAAATAAATATTGTGTTCTTATTAAAATTAATTTTGTAAATTAAATATTAAACAACATGAACATGGTTTACTCATTTAATTTTATGATAAGTCACATAATTAAAACATTTATATATATAAAAAAAAACTATAATTTAAATTAAAATATTTTATGATAAGTCACATAATTAAAAAATTTTATATAAAAAAAAACTATAATTTAAATTAAAACATTTTATGATAAGTCACATAAGCTCATTTAATCTACTAAAATTAAGAAATTATGTCTTTTGTAGTGCGCAACTTATTAATTGTTTTATCCATTTTAAATGCAATTTTACACCTATATGTATAAAATAGTTCCTCCACAAATGTTATTCTTGTGGAGACAAATTGAATACCTAATGTTTAAATTTGTGATAGTTTAATAAATGAATCGATAATATCACTATGTAGTAGTTAATCATGTAGTCCCAAGTTTGGCTAGTCCATTTTATATTTTATTTTATATGATCAAATGTGCCAGCTATTCCTAGCCATACGGTTAGGAGGAATTGTACAACCCTCTGCAGTAGTGGATCATTAAGAAAATGTGAGTTAGTCCTTGTTATTTTGTCTTATATGTTGCATGGTGGCTTGCACGAGGGGCCATATTTGTGAATGAGAATTATCTATACACTTGAAGTTTAAATATATTAGTTAGCTTTTGAAATTCGGGTATATAATTCACACACACACAAATATATATATATGAGCTTTTATTTATCCGTGGCGAACTTTAGAAAGGATAAAGTAGCTAGTTGACCAAGTTATATTATTAATATATTTGTAATTTAAATAAATTTCATATTTATTATCTAATTTTTATATATTACATCAAATTAATCACCTCGACAATTTTTTATTTAACATATATATTGTAGATATAAATAAATATATATTATTTTTATAATGAAATTTAAGTAACCTAAAAATATTAGTTGTAAAATAATAAAATAATATATTGATAAAATAAAAATATCTATCAAATGTATTATATAATATGAATTAAAAAATTATTATATTATAAAATGTGTAAATTGTACAATTGATGAGCTTGATTTTAAATGTTAACAATAATAAAACACCTGAACCACGGTTATTTAATATTTATACCACTTATCCTCACAGTCACATCTCTCTCTCACACAACACACACATTTCATCTCTCTCTCACACAACACACACATTTGTCTCGCTCTGAAAAACACCATGGAAGGAGCCCAGCCTGCTATCACGGCGGCCGCCAGGGCGGCAGCACAAAAATTCAACCGCTGTCTATGGCTTGTTCCAGCGTTGGTCACACTTATTGTTGGCGACTTAATCCTTTTCCTCAGTCGCGACAAGCACCCCAAGGAGCACCGCCCTCCATCCAAACTCTTGTTCGTCATGTTTGTTAACCTGGTTGCGTTGGCCTATGGTTCATTCCTCGTGTTAGCAGCTTGGAAATCCCCTTTGAACCCCAGAAGCCTACCCCGTGGTTGCCGCTGCATTCTCGATATTGTGTTCATCCTGGTGTGCTTTGCCCTGTCTCTGTTCATGAAGGATGGGTGGTACCTTGGCATGGTCTTTATCGGCCTCATTCATCTGATTTGCGCTTCGAACGTAATCGGGATGTTCGACAACATCGGGGCGTTCGATTGCCTGACGTCTGTCCTCATCTCCGGCACTTTCGAGCTCGCGAAAGACGTGAAGGTGGCTGCGGTTTTCATTATCCTGGCCATGACCACAGTTCTTATGGTGGCTAAGCATGCCAACGAGTACCGACGCCTTAGGGCTCGGCAGAAAGGGACTGTAAGGGCGAATAATGCGGCGGCCGCACGAGCAGCAGCGAGGCAGCCCTCATCTGGCCTGTCTTCATTAAGGACAAAATTCGAAAGTGTTTGGTTTCCGTTTGTTGAAGAGATCTGGGCTTGCTTTTGTTGGGACGGTCCGAATGATGGTCCTGCCGGAGGAGGCGGTAGCAGAGGAGGCGGCAGTCAGCTCGTCGGAGGACGCGGCAGCCAGCCCGCCAGAGGACGTGGTAGCAGAGGAGGCGGCAGCCAGCTCGTCGGAGGACGCGGCAGCCAGCCCGCCAGAGGACGCGGTAGCAGAGGAGGCGGCAGCCAGCTCGTCGGAGGACGTGGCAGCCAGCCCGCCAGAGGACGTGGTAGCAGAGGAGGCGGCAGCCAGCTCGTCGGAGGACGCGGCAGCCATCCCGTCGGAGGACGCGGCAGCCAGAACCAGCCCGAATTGGGCAACGAACAGCCCGAACTGCACAATGACCTGCCCGAATTGGGCAACGTCAACCAGCTGCCCGAAGGAGGCAACAACCTGCAGGTCGTCATTGACATTCGCGGAGAAGGTGCTGACAACCAGCTGCCGGAAGGAGGAAGCAACGACCAGGTCGCCGCTAACATTGGCGGAGAAGGTGCTGACAACCAGCTGCCGGAAGGAGGAAGCAACGACCAGGTCGCCG